AGGAATAATCTGGAACCGAGGCAGAGGCGGCAGACGTATTTTGGCTATGCGTTCGAGTCGTATTGTACGGCGGACAAACCGGGTGTGCCGAATGTGCCTCAGCACCCAGGCGATCCTCCCGGGTGGGGCGGTGACGTGGACACTAATGTCCAATGGTGTAGCGTCGTGCGGACCAAACTGGGCGATACGCGCATGGTCATCGGCGGTGAGGTGGACTGCGTTCGAGACAAGTACACTGGCACAACGGATACTTTCGTCGAGCTCAAGACGTCCCTCGTTATTCGCGGTCCTCAAGACTCGGTCAAATTTGAAAAGTACAGTGAATGTATTGCACGACTTCTGTTGTTGATGATAGGTTACAGAAAGCTGCTCAAGTTTTACATGCAGTCGTTCTTGCTCGGCGTGCCTGTAGGTCTTGACCTCCTATGAGTAATCCCTGTTGAATTTCTTTTTAGGAGATCTTGGTGGGATTTCGGACACCCTCAGGGCAGGTAACCACCACGCAGACGTTCAAGACGGTCGAGATTCCGCGACTAGTACGCGGGAAAGGTCCGCACGCATGGGACCCATCGGTGTGTTTTGCATGGGGAGACGCGTTCCTCGAGTTCCTCAAGACGCAAATTCGAGACAAGGAAGAACGTACGGTTTGGCGCGTGGCTTTTCGGCCAAAGGTAGGCGTGGAGCTGCGCGTGCTGGATGACAAGGAGGTGGAGGGTGTCGTGGCTGGAGAGGAACGTGTTGGGTTTTTACCGCAATGGTATTGGGATGAGGTGGTTACAGAAAAATGATACAATCGTTCTCAATCCTGAAAGGTCGTCAGCTGAGATCCAGCCACTGACTTGCGACCTACTACTGGGTGCTCTTCTTCACCTTGTGCCCAGACGGCGTCGTATAAGTCGATTTTCCCTTTCCATCGTTGTGATACGTCGACCCATTGGGGTTCTGGTAGTAGTAACTCCCGTCGCTGGATGCAAAAATTCACGCAGAAACTCGGGACAATGAGAAAACAGGCACCTGTTCGAATAGTGGTACCCAGATCCAGAGCTATATTGACGGTTATCCCATTTGTTGCCCTGCAGCACTTTCAGGGACTCGCGTCGGATGGAGAGAGAGAGAACGTACCTGCGAGTTTGTCCCGCGTCCGGTTACGGTGTAATCTTCCGACTTGGAGGACATGGAAGACAAAGAGCGTACGCGAATTGACGCGCTCTTGGTCCGATCAAAGTCGCGATGCCCATTTTCCGAGACAGGTTCTGCCGCTTCAACTAGTCTCTTCCACGACCTCTATGTTCCTGCAACCCGCGGGAAACCTCCGCCCTCCGGACTCTCCGCTACCTCTACTTTCTCCGGACGGTCGAGTGGCTATATTTCATCCTTTCCAGAGAGCCCACAAGACTCGCCATTGCTCAAGTTTGCTGCGTTGCCCATGAACCCGTCACCTGGTGTACCACTCGGCCTGGTACTCGACGCTTGTTCTATAGTTGCCAAGAATAGGCGCGGAGTCTTGCAGCTGCCACCAGACCATCGCCGACGACGCCTCCGATCTCGATGCACGGTAACTACCTATATGTTGTTCTAGCCGAGGGAGGCGAGCTACTCCACGAACACAAAATATGCTCCTCGTTCGATGACTGGATACCGCCGCCAGAGATCCCGACCCGCTGGAAGACCGTGCCACTGAAGAAGACGGAGCGGTGCCACTTTGTGTCTGATGGAGAGCCATATTGACATCCGACTGGGTATGTTCCCAAACCTTTTTTGTCCTCGATCCCCGCTCAAGAGTCCTCAGTGTCGCAACCACTGGGTCTTGCTTGCAGCATATGGAGGTGATCCCGACGAGGACATTGACTCTTCCTACAACCTTGTCACTCTGCGCAGCGATCTGGATCCAAGTCCGATCGGTTTGTTTTTGCTCCGTTGGGTTTGTGGATTCCATTGTTGGAGATCTGGCGTACGAATTTCATATCAAGGAAATCGGATTTCACCTCATCCAAATCTCGCTCCTTCGACGCAGACTGCGCATGAAGAGCGACCACAAAACTCTGCAAAACTATCTGCATGCCCGTCCACGCCCACAAGTCGCTCGAGAACGAGTTCTACCGGGTCGTCGTCGACAGGGGTCAGGTCTCACATCGTCTCGGTCCTGCCCCCCGTCCAGAGGTCATCCTTTCGACGCCTACTGCGATATTGTCCCCGGAGATTGGCCATCTCCTCAGCACTTCACCCGACTCTCGGCGCAGACAGCGCCTGAAGAGCAGCGGCAACGCTTCTACCACGGTCGTCGTCGATGGGATGTCTCACCCGTGTCTCACCGAGGCTTTCCACCATTCTGCGGAATGCGCCTACAGCACCTGGCCCTGAACATCTCGCAGTCGACTGGCCACATTGAAGTCCGACTTCGCCGTCGACTCGCACGCTCCATTCGATGGTTCCCCGAGGCGAAAGTCTATGCGCTCAACAACGAGGCACACGGGACGATGCGACGCCTCCACTGAAGACCGGCCGCCATCGCGATCCCGCATGTATAACAACGCATATGCGGTAGAGCCCCCAGACGGGCCCGCAGCGATACAGGGCCGATGAGAATGGATAAATACCGGCAGTGGCATATATAATGGCGCTCCACCCACCTCGCTCGCGCCGACTGGGTCTGTCTGAGCCTCCACCTTGTCGGTGGCGCCTCTATTTACTGAACCAAGTTTTTACACATATCTGCGCAGCACATAACACTGACTCTGCCCATTTACCAGGAAAGCAGCCATCACTCTGCGAGGGAACGAGCGCAATATACGTTTGCCAACAGACTCCACACTGCGCGTGGGATGTCGACTGTTCCTTCGCGGCCCGATCAAGTTTTGCACCGATATCTACGAGGTCCACCGTCTACACGACCGTGTCACCGATGTCCTCTCTGCCCTGGACCCCTATATACCGACACGACTCCCTCCAGCTTCACCATCATGGAACGACAACTTTCAAATATTCGATATGTTGTCGTCGTCCATCGCGCGCTCGCGCCATCGCCGCTCCCTCACATGCTCATCGGAGCTCAAGCACTCACGTCAGGCTGCAGCCTTTACGCTGGTTATCGAGCCGTGCAATACGATGATGGATAGGTTGGTTGATGGTCGGTCGTTTCGGACCCGTTTACTAGCTAGCTTCGCGAGACGGATGCCCTGGCAGTACTCCGATCACAACGTTGGGATCTAGTAGATGACTGTAGGCGTACATCGGAGGCAATTGTACGTAGGCTACAGTCGGCTGTTGTTCCTCAATGGGACCACTCGGCCGTTAAATTCACTCTCTCTCTCTCTCTCTGACCGTATCCGTCGCGGCTACTTTTTTATACGGTTTATCCTGCGGTTTCATGTGACCGAATTGGCCGATGTCGCAGAGACGCGATGGCTTGAGCACTCGAATGACATGGCTCCGGCGTGGGTGGTAACCGGATTCGTTTGAGTAACTTGCAAACCCCGCTGAGTGTGGACGCAACTCGAGTATCAAATCTCTTGACCTACTTTTGGTGGGATTTCGACGATGAATGTGTTTCCCGCTTTTATGGCCTAGAAATTGTACGATACAAACTCTATAGTATCACTGCGGTGAAAAATCAACACGTTCCAGCCGCGGCCCGCGACTTTGTCTCTCTCTCTCTCCTTCGCAAACGAAACCAAGATCATCCACTTGGACTTGGCTCTTCCCGACTTTCCGGCGACCCTCGATTGAGGCGGTCAATGAAGAGGAATATGGCGCGTACGACCTTGGGGTATTCTGACTCTCAGACTGCGAAAATTCACGAGATGAGACTGCTCACTGGTGCGTTTTCGCCACCAGTCGATCGGGCCAGGCCGCCTTTGGCTTCGAAAGGAGGTGTCAACGGAGTGAGAGGAGGTTTTGCGTGTTCGCGTTGCTAAATTCTATCCAATGTATTCCAGAGTAACACAAGGACTTGAATGCTCGCGATACAGAATCTTAGTAGCTGGTCTAATTGGAGGATTCGGAACGTCAGTCAAGTCGTAGTAGTGCGAACACACCTTGGTAGCTTGAGAAGGCCCGTTGCTGCCGTCCCGCATGGAAGGAGGGGAAAGATGTGAAGCCGAATATAGTGTCTAGACGTCGACGGTGTACCCGAGTGACTTGGAAGCCACGGCTTAGAGGTAGAGATATTTTAACGAGCGCCGACGGCCATCCGAATGCTGTGGTGGGTATGGACTCTCGAGTCGGGCCACACGTCGTCCAGAGCGTGGTATACATGCAGGCCATCGGATTCTTGCCCGGATTGAACGGACGACTAGAGAGGGCGACGAACGCGACATTCATCTAAAACTCGCGAATCCTCCGTCAATCCTCCGTTCCGAATGCTGAGGAAAGGGCAAAAAGACTGACCCTGATCCGAGTTGAACGGATGACCTCCTGGAATTTCCTTTTCTGGAATCAGGCGTTATAGACCACTAAACTCATTCAGGCACTCTTCGGTGGTCACCGTGACTCTGGCGAGGCATGGACAGATGCACTCACAGACCTCCTCACCGAGAGGGTTAGTTGGCATGATCTGTGCAATTTGCAGGACAATCCAGACGACGAACCCGAAGAACGTCTCTTGACGGTATTCAAGGTGTGTGTTATTTTTGTGTTATCCTTCTTTTCAGGCTCGAGCGTTTGACCAGCGCGCCCAAGCTCGACAAGGGCGTTTTCTTTGTTGACTATGTCCTCCGCACCGTCGATACTCTCAAATTCGTAAAGCTATGGAACTCTCACCCTGGAAGACCCGCTACCTGTCCTTCCAAAGGAATGCTGAAGCCGAATATTTGAGGTCGTTACGCGTAAGATACTGAAAACGACGCGTGTCCGGGACCAGTTGCGTTCTTGGTGAGCCGACACCGATCAAACACCATCACTTGGGGGGAAATGACTCGTTCTCGCTCATTTCTGATCCAAATCGCATGAGAGTGGACTCGTTTGAAAGCGGGGAGCCTGGACAATGCGAAAATGCGAAAAAATGACCCCTACCCGATTCGAACGGATGACCTTCTGGATTCTAGAAACAGTCCCCTGACCATTTCCCTTTCTGGAATCAGATGTTATTCCACTAAACCGCATCGCGTTGTCTCGCGCACCCGCAGACCTGCAGACCTTGCAGGAAGAGAAACACAAGATTGACGCGGAAATCCTAAGCAAAAGGCCAAGTTACACGACATCAACGTTTCAAAAAGAGTCAACGACGAGGAATATGGCACGTACTACCACCCTTTGAGGATTCTGACTCTCAGACGGCACCAGAACAAACGTTGGCCATAGTTCAAGGGGAGATCAACGCGCTCACCGACCAACTCGCGGCATCCGCTCTCGGAAAAGAGGGCACGTTTCCGCTGCTTTTACCGACCCAATCTTACTGTCGATCTAGCCTGGCCGCCTTTGGCCTCGGCCCTCGAAAGCAAGTACCAGCGGAGTGGGAGGAGGTTTTGCTCGTTTCGTGTAGAGCATGTATTCTCGGACATGAATTGACGCGTTTGACGCGCATCTGAGGCAGCAAGTCGCCCGCAGCGATTGTAGACACTACGAATTTAGACGAACGCGACATTCATCTAAAACAAGTCGCGAATGCTTCGGACAGGGCAAAAAGACTGACCCTGATCCGAGTTGAACGGATGACCTCCTGGAATTTCCTTTTCTGGAATCAGGCGTTATAGACCACTAAACTACAGGGCCTGCGGGAGGGTCGGAGTGGGGAGTCTATTGAAGTGGAGGGTAGGGAGGAGGGAAGGTCAAGAGGAAGCGGGGAAGCCAGTGATCACAATGTTGTGGTTTGTTGTGACGACGGCCAGCAAGGACGACCGTCGACCGCGTCCAACAAGAGCAGGGTCGCCGAGTACGAGCTTGGGCTGCGAAGATGTCGTCGAGTGTGAAGGGGACGGTATGGAGAAGGGGAGGTAATGCTGCTGGCGATGGGAGTCCGAAATTTTTCCCATTAGTAGCTATCTACGAAACGGTGCAACAACGGTGCATTCTTTTCTTGTCTACTCAATGCATTGCTCTCAGCTCGTTCGTTCTCCCTCACCTTCCAGCTCCTCCGTATTATTTCACCGTTTCTTCTTGTTGTCCTCCTTCGCCCTTTTTGATCGCGCTTGCCACATCTACCGCAAAAGTGTCAAAAATGAAGAGAGGAAAAGAAATAGAGCAAACCTGTTGCTCCGACTCTGGTACATCTGTCCAGGCCTGCTCAAACTGGTCACGATCCGCGCCCCGGTTTTTGATATACCACTGTTTGCCCCATAGGTTTCTAACGAAAGATATGAGTTTTGTGATGAAGAATGTAAGGACGGCCGCACTTTGCACTATTACTCGTATTAGGGCGGTATCTGGATTTGCCAGAACGCGGGGCTCTTGTCTTCTTGCCGGTCGCGGCTCGTTTTGCTATGTCCTCTTGCGTCCGGACGTCCCAATCGATCTCGCGACGAAGATCTAGCCACCAATGCCGAGAGTAAAGAGGCGGGAGGTCGAGAATCGAGTTGACTTTTTGATATAACCGATACTCGCAGTCTGAAATGCGAGGACCGTCACCGTCGCAGATAGTGCAATTTCTCGCCTTTGGCAGCGCATAGTCCTTGTTACCACGCCCCGTTCCAGCGCCCTTCTTCGTGATACCATCTGCGAGGAAAAAGTGGGCACGATTGCCGGTGCCTGGAGCGCCTCGACAAATAACCATGAAGACCGTCTCGCGGTCTGTGTAACTCGCGTCAGGATCGGGTTTACGAAATAGAACAGGGAACCAACCTTTTTTCATTACTCTGATGAGATTGGCCGAGGTTTTTGACTTCCAGACACTGGGTAGCCCCGTAGCGAAATCCTGATCGCACTGGTTCTTTTCCAGCAGAATAGCGTCGACGGCCAGCGTCAAAAGGTAGTCGTGGTCGTTCTGCCGATCCGCGAGCACGAATACGGTGCCTTGAACCTCGTCTATCGCGGAAATGGCTTCGTAGTCGAGCGGGAAATCACTCAAAGCATCCTGAAGTTCGTCATCATACCAACTTGCGTCAATAATGTCTTGAACTCGGATTTCGACTAGGTTGAGCGCATCGAGCGTGAAGTGACAGCGGATGTCGGACCGTCGGAGAAGATCGTGCACATAGAGAGGGCGCTCCACGGTGGGGAAGTTCTCCAACGTAACAGGCCAGGGACCCTCCGTGGATCCAACACATTGGTGAGTTCCACCGGGGTTGCGGGTAAATACTGTGGAACCACATCCCTCACAGGTTGTCACGCGCGGTGATGAGAGCGATATTCCGCATTGGAACTTGTCGAGCTTGGCCGCGTCCTCAATGAATTCCTGGATGTGTTCCCAGAAGTAGATGCGACCATGGCCTCCAGGGTTGTTCTTGCGCAGCCAGTCGATGAATGCAGCGATGCGGGCCTTGACGCGATCGTTGGCCTCTGGGCTCCGACCACGAGTATTCGCAGAGCGTACAATGTCGACATTGTCGTCGAGACAGAGGAACCAGGTTTGCCAAGCAGGGGTACCCATCGGGTACTCGTAGTTGCCGTAAAGAGGGAAGCCGCCGAAGCTGATGGCGTCATTATGCTTGGCCAGAAGGCGTTCCATCTGAGCCTGCCGGGCTTCACCCTTGGGCGCGGTCACCTCACCTCGGGGTCTCTCAAGCGCTCCACGGCCCTCGCTCTCCAACCAACGATCGTGCATCGTCTTGGCTGAGATGATGGAACGTAGAAAGCCATACGTTTGTTCCATATCCCGCAACACCTCTTTCGCCTTCTTCAGGTTTTCAAGCACGCCGTTCTGGGCCAACAGCCGACGTGCCTCCTCGATACACGTGTTGAGCCACGTTTCGCGCGTCGCCGGGTCTTGAAGGTCGGGAGGAGAGTTGCGCGGGGCTGTCGAGACCACGCGTTGAGCTGTTTCCTCTACAGCACGGGCGTGGCACATGACTATCCACCGCGGACCGGCGAGTACGGGGTCGTACTTGAAACTGCCGAAATGGAGCTTGACGATCCAAATGGCAATGTGCTCTGCATTTGGGCCGAAACGGACGATGGACATCTCGCCCACCATGTCGTTGAACTGTGCGCCCTGCAGGGAAGGCCCACGACCTCGAGGAAAGCGGCGACGAAGATCAGGCGGAGAAACACCGTCCATGAAAGCAGCGTGGCCGTCATCTCCGAAATACGACCACACCTCGACAAGGTGACAGGCTTTGAGTGCGGCAGCAATGGGGGCGGACTGGGAGGTGATTATGAGGGGGGACATCTCGATAAGAATGCGGGAAAGATAGATGGCGTGGAGCCAGTACTCGTCGTGTTCAAGTACGAGGCGCCAGAAATCGACATAGGGGCCAACATACTGCGCGAGGGTATCGGTGGAAAGGGTGCCCGTCATCGGGATGTTGGGATAGAAGAGATGGCGAAGATGACGGTCTTCACGAGGTCCCAGCCCAACTGCCTCATCCCAGTACCCGGCTTCACCGACCATGGCCTCGAAGGTGATATCTTTTATTATCTCGACAGTGACAACCTCGCCTTTGCAGAGTCTGACAACATTGGCAATGTTGCTCTTGACCTGGGCCAAAGCCAAGTCGGAGATGCGGAGGGTGTTTGAGGAACCAGAATTGGTGGGAGCCATAAGCGTCTTGAGCTCGTCGTCGATGAACGCAGACAGTGTCTCGCTCAACTCATGATCCTCTTCTTGCCCAAAAGGAAAAAGATCCGCGGGGAGAAGGTCGCGCAAAACGTCGAGGTATCGAGTGATGTCGGGCGGCATGAGGAATATCGGCTGAACGCCACCCGGAGCAGAATTGAGAGCCGTCGGTCCCAGCATGGCGCGTATGATCCGCTCTTGTTGGCTGATCCGAGGAGTGGTGCGAACGGCCAGTTCGTCTGGGATCGGGACACCGATTCTGGGAATATTGTATGTGACGATCTTTGATTCCAGACCGGGGTTGGACTTGAGAAAGTTAATGATGAATACAGGGCACCCTTTGATGATGTCATCGACAACTCGTGCACCTGGCGCCTGGACAGCGCTGATGCCGGTGTAGCCCAGGGTAATCTGCTTCTCGGCGCGTTGCGCGCCTCGTAGCGCAGTAGCACCTGCGTTCTCCTCGACGTGTTTGCAAAACTGGGCGATGGCGTCTTCGAGGCCAAAGACTTGCATCGCGGCAGTCAAGTCGCGGAACACGTCGGTGAGGTCTTCGCCGAGCAACAAGAGACGTATTATCATGTAGGGTGCTTCAGCAGGGTACGCGAGGAGGTACGCCCGCAGCGCTCGTAGGACCTCTTCAGCGGGGAGGCGGATCAGCCGCAGGTAATGCGCGCATTTGTTGACAGGAGAGGGGCCGTCGGCGTTGCTTTCTTCGAGGGTTTTGTCGTCGATGAACGGCTGGGGGTTCCAGCCCGTGGGATCCTTGATTATCGCTGCGAACATGTCCATTACCCTGTGGGGAATCGCCTTCCACACAGGTTCGCTTGCGGTAATTTGCTCGTGACCCTCATGAGCGAAATACTTGTTCACCGTTGCTTGGACGAGTTCGCGAGGGGAGAGATGTTGGCTGTTGAGAACGCGATCCACGACGCCGGTCTTGGACGTGACGTGATGGTCAAAGACGGAAGACCACACACGGACGATCACGTCGGTGCGTTCTTGTCCCTTTGCCCACCGCTTCGCCTCGGCGATTTCGGGATTGGCTTTGGCTTTTGCTACATTTTGTTCTCGCCGTTTTGCCTGCAACAGAACAGTCAGGATGGACAGGCAACGCAGCTAGGGAAAACGCACATTCACCGCATCTGATTCTTTATCAGAACTTGTCGGCTTCTCAGTCTTTTGCTTTTTTTTCCGGGGTACCTTCTGCAACAAATGTTGGAAAAAACGGGAATGGCATCAAGGAAGTCTTACCTTGCGAGCACCTTCATCGTCCTCATCTTCCTCTGGTTCGTCCTCGCCTGCAGACTCGTCTTCTTTGTCGTTTGCTTCCTCCCAGTCATCGTCCCCGTCCTGCGCATACATGAGAACAACACTTGCAGAGCGTCGAAAGACATACCTCTTCGGACCCCACTTCCGCGCGCTTTCGCTTCGAAGGACCTGCCGCAGAACCGTTCTACGCGGCCGTGAGTTTACTACCACTGAATTGAGGGAAATCAACGTACAACAGCTCCTCCAAACCGGCTTTTCTTCGGCTGGAAAGGAGAATCAGTCCCACGACGGATTGGTGAAAGGGATGGTTGTTACCGTCGGCGCGGAGTTGCTTTCCGAGGACTGTTGGACGACTTGAGCGCCGTGGATGCAAAGCTTGAGCAGAGAAACTTACGACTCGCTTGACACCTCTGGCCTTGCCTGCACTCTTTGCCGGTTTCGAGACCGCCCGTCCTTTGCCCTGATGCTGATGAGGGACAAAAAGGTCGCAAGTAGGCGGTATTCACCTTGGACCGCGACTTTGGTGCCTCGTCGTCTTCCTCGTCCCCGGAAGGGTCTTCGTACTCCCAGTCGTCGTCGTCGATCACGAGAGCCTTCGTCCTCGTGGACGAGAGCTGGTCGCAACAGAATGAATGGGTAGAAGAAGAAAAGGATGGATTCGCACCTCTGTCGCGTCTTCATCGCGCCGTCTGGTCGTGGAAGAGCCGTTCTACGCGTCTGTCAGTCCACCGTCGCTGGATATAGGGAGATTGGCTTACGATGGGGCCTGCCACGCGGGTCTGGGGCTCAC